CTAGTTTGGGGTTTTTAGGCTGCGCATGACAACGATTCTGTGCCCGGAAACAGATTCTGCTCATAAATGATTCTTTTTTATTCTATGTCCGAAATTGATTTTGAGCATTTTAAGGCGTTTGTTAACGGCCCAAAATTCCATCCCTGGAATAGAAAAAGAACAGAAGTGCGTTTGGTAACGCCACAAAATTTCTTTTTATTAATAATATTTTTAAATATTTTAACATTTCTTTCTTTTTTTTTTCTTTTTTTCTTTTCCTCCTTCTTGGCCATGGCTTGCTCACCGGCCATGACCGGTAAAATATTTTTTTATTAATAATATTTTTATTAAAAGTATTTTTTCTTTTTTTTGGCCATGGCCTGGTCGCCGGCCATGACAGGTAAAATATTTTTTTTATTAAAATATTTTATTAAAAACATATATTTTTATTTTTTTGGCCATGGCCAGTAAAATATTTTTTTATTAATAATATTTTTTATTAAAAATACACATTTTTATTTTTTTGGGCCATGGCCTGGTCGCCGGCCATGGCCGGTAAAATACTTTTTTATTAATAATATTTTTTATTAAATATTTTTATTAAAAATATATATTTTTATTTTTTTGGCCATGGCCTGGTCGCCGGCCATGGCTGATAAAATATTTTTTTATTAAAATATTTTTATTAAAAATATATATTTTTTTCTTTTTTTGGCCATGGCCTGTAATATATATTTTTTATTAAAATATTTTTATTAAAAATATACATTTTTATTTTTTTGGCCATGGCCTAGTCGCTGGCCATGGCAAGTAAAATATTTTTTTTATTAAAATATATATATTAAAAATATATATTTTGTCTTTTTTTGCCATGGCCTGGTCACCGACCATGGCAGGTAAAATATTTTTTTATTATTAAAATATTTTTATTAAAAATATGTTTTTTTCTTTTTTTTGGCCATGGCCGGTAAAATATTTTTTATTTCAATAATATTTTTTATTAAAATATTTTAATCTCGTCAGATCCGGTGAGAGCGGTCCTCGAGCCGGACATTAAAATCTATATTAAAAATCAAGAAAAGGAAGAAAAAAAAATTGATTCTCAAAATTGTTCCCAGAATCAAGAAACTACTTTTTTTTTTATTCTTGAAAACTGATTTTGGGAACAATTTTTGAAAAAATTGTGCCCAAAATAAAAAAACTAAACAAACGCATTTCTGTTCCCAAACTGATTCCGGGAACAAAAGAACAGAATCAAACACTGTTTGGCAAGTTATCATGCGCAGCCTTAGTGGTCAAAAAATTAGTTCGGGGTAAAATTGTCACAAGTGTACCAGTGTGAGGTTTTTGGTGGTCAAATAAATAGTTCGGGGTAAAACTGTCACAAGTGTACCAGTTTGGGATTTTTGGTTGTCAAAAAAATAGTTCGGGGTAAATTTGTCACAGGTGTACCAGTTTGGGGTTTTTGTTAATCAAAAAAATAGTTCGGGGTAAAATTGTCACAAGTATACCAGTTTAGGGTTTTTCGTGATATTAACCCTAACTTTTATATTTCATTAGGTGAATGTAGCATTTAAGACATGAATATCTCCACTTGTTATTTCTCCAGGTTCAGATCACTTCTTCTGCATTCCCTCTAAAGTTTTTTTTTTTTTCCATATCATCATAATAATTTAAGAGATCAACATTGATTTTTAAATTGTGCCACGGCGAGCATCAGAGCGGATAATCTCTCTGCTCTAACTACACATAATAGATTTATCATGTCAAATCAAATTTTATGTTAATTGAATTTAAAATGACAAGTGTTAATCTGGATTGTCCGCCTCCCAAAAGCATGAGATTGCTTAGTCAGACATATAGTGTGGTCGCCTTCCTTTGGAACGACTAATGCACTTTGGGAAAATTTCAATTAAGGACCCTAAGTGGGGTCCTTTTCTCAAAAGAGGACCCAAAGTGAACATTGTGTCAAATAAGGGCCTGAAGTGCCCAATCAGTCTCAAATAGGAGCCCGAAGTGCTCAATTCATCTCAGGTAAGGGCCTGGGTTATTTGGCCAGGTCAAATCTCGTCGGCCCGACAAGCACGATTCTTGTTCGAACAGCGCAGAGCAGTACATTCATCTCTATTTTTTTTTTCCTCCGCCGGCCATAGCCTGGGCCGACGGAGGTCGCCGGCCTCAGGCGAGGCCGCCCTCGTCGGCTTCAGGCGAGGGCCGCCCTCGCCTGGGCTGGGCGAGGTCGGCCTCGCCGGCGTCGGGCGAGACTAGCCTTGCCGTTGCAGGCGAGACCGGCCTCGCCTGACGCCGGCGAGGCCGAGCCCTCGCCAGAACTGGCGAGGCTCGACCTTGCCGTTGTTGGGCTAGGCCGAGCCCTCGCTAGATCTGGTGAGGCCTCGACCTCGCCGGCAACTGGCGAGGCCGACCTCGCCCAGCCCAGGCGAGGGCGGCCCTCGCCCGAGGCAGGCGACCTCCGCCGGCCCTAGCTATGGCCGGCGGAGGAAAAAAAAAAACAGAGATGAATGTACTGTTCCGGTTGCCGGAACAGTAACTATGCTCGCCGGCCGGTGAGATTTGACCGGCCGGCGAACCCAGGCCCTTACCTCAGACGAATCGAGCACCGCCCCTATTCGGCGATTGACGCACTTCGCGCCTTTATTCACACTACGTTTACATTGTGGCCCTCTTTAAGAAAAAGGTTGAAATTTTCCCGTGCACTTTTGCTCGTGATACATTTTCAAAGGAATATGCTAGTGGTTGTTCCTCAATATTCAATTAAAGAGATATTACATTTTATAATGTATGAGGGTTAAGACACGCGTAACTACGCAATTATGTATAGAAAGAAGATGAGCAGTTATTCATGAAGTGGATTTTAGAAATTACGGGCAACTTAGAAAATCTAACCCGTGACAAGAGGAAAAGAAAGTGGGTGGTTTTTTTTTTATGAAATGGGTAGGCATCAAAAAAAAAAAAGAGAGCAGAAAAAAAAAAGGGAAATTTAAGATATCTAAAAATGAGACAAAGAGGTGTACTTCCTAATATTTACAAGTAAAAATGCACAAATATTGCATGTTTGTAAAGAATTGATATTTTAAGAATTTTGCAGAATCGCTTTATCATGAATTATTAATTAATAGAAAGAAAATATTAACACAGTACATGAACAAATTGCACATACTTGTACGAAGAGATAGTTTGTTAAAGATCGAAACTTTTTTTTTTTTCGGGTAATCTTCAAACTTTAAAATTGAGACGCATGAGAAATAAGATAATATTATTAGTTCACGCATTCGTCCTTAATAAAATATCTGTAAAGTAACTAACAGAGGATATTTTGGAAAAGAAAAAGCGATGGTGATCTATAAAAATTAAGAGACTCTGTTTATGTTATGTAATGGTATAGAAACATATAGATTATAGGGATAAGTGCATTTAAAGTTTCAAATTTTGTGACGAAAGTGCAATTAAGTCCTAAAACTTTCAAAAAGTAAAAACAAATCCTAAAACTTATCACGAAAATGCATTTGAGTCCTAAAACTTTAAAAAGTGCAAACAAGTCCTAAAACTTGTCACGAAAGTACAATCAAGTCCTAAAACTTGTCAAATTGATTCAATCAAGTCCTTCCATTGATTGTACCTTTTGAAAGTTTTAGGACTTGTTTGCGCTTTCGTGACAAGTTTTAGGACTTGTTTGCACCTTCGTGACAAGTTTTAGGACTTATTTGCATTTTTTGAAAGTTTTAGGGCTCCAGTGCACTTTTATGAAAAATTTTAGGACTTGTTTACACTTTTTGAAAGTTTTAGAATTCAATTGTATTTTTATGGTAAGTTTTAAAATTTCTAGTGCACTTATCCCTAGATTATATGTTCTTATCATGCTTATGCTAAAGTTTTTGGGAAAAAAGAAAAAGAAAAGAAGAGGACGTCGGTGATGCGCCTGCTCGAGCAGCTGGTCTTGCCGGTTCCGCCGCCTCCTTCACCGCTGGATCAAATGCGGGTGATTCCTGAAATGTCGTCGTAACGGAGTTTGCCCAATGCAAACCCATCATCATAATCATGTCAGCGAGATTTCGAGCCCGAATGAAGTCAGCAGCCCATCGAGCTGGCGTGGCTTCGAGGCCCGGAGGTGATGCGGCCAGTGCATCGCTCAGGGCGTCTGTAGCGATGAATGGAGGGAGCATCGCGGGAGTTTACAGTAAATGGGGGCGGAGTTGCAGCTTTGCTCAGATAGCAAGTTGCTTCATTGGCGGAAGAGTCTGTTGAGGACCTGGAGAAGCAAGAGAGTGCATATCGGTTGGTGACCCACGTTCTAGACAAGGTCCAAATTGATGATTCCAAGTTATTGGAGCAGGTGAGATTAATGGCAAGGGAGCAAGTCCAATCTATATGCCTCCATTTCTTAAGTAAGTTTTGCTGACTCTGGACTATTTTTCCCTTCTTATGGTAAACGACAGCCTCTTGGTCCTTGTTATGTTTCCATTATAAAATTCAACTTCTGTTGAAGAACAATTGGAGTCCAATCGTGTGGTCCATAATAAAATTGGGTAGAGTTGCTACTCCACAAAATTAGAATAGAGAACAAATAGCACTGGAATACGTATAACACAGTTTGGTTCGTATAATAACTATTTGAGGACCATGTTTGGCTTGCAAGTTTTAGACAAGGAATAATCCAACTAGTTTTCATCAATATGATAATTAAAAAGCTCAGTGCCTGTGCTGTTACCATATTTCCTAAATTGTTACCTTTAAAAGTTATGAACTTAAAAATAACTTGTATATAGTAGCTAAAATATACATCTGCATAATTTTACAAAGGTTAAGTATATAACAATTTGCGAATAACCGTTGGTTGTTGGGGAGCAGCTGTGGTGCCACCGCACCAGCTGATGGAGGTGGCTGTGGAAGTGGCTGGTGGGTTTGGTGGACTGGTAGTGATGGCGGTGGACGATTTAGGTGATGGTGGGGATTTGTTTTGGGTGGTTTTGGGGGAGGGGGGAGGGTGTTGGCCATTGGTGGCAATGTATTCAAAACTGGAATAGATTGGCCGATTCGATTATTCGACCAAATAATGCAGGTCCAATCCAGGTAGGACTGTGAAAGCAACCATGGTCGTAGTTGGGATGAAACTGGCCTTAACCCTGTTGATCTGACCAAACCCTGTGTTCAACCGGGTCAAATAGTTGGGGAGTTTCTCCCCTCATTCATCCCCTCTAAAGCAATCTGGTTGCCTCGTCTACCTTATAAAATCTCTTTCTTTTGTTGGATGGTAGCTTGGAATAAGATTCTTACTTTTGAGGATCTCAGGATATGGAATTTCATTCTTACGATTGGTGTTAAATGTGTAAGCTTTCTGGGCAATGTGTTGATCATCTCTTCCTTCGTTGACTTTGCTCTTGAGCTTTGGAATCATGTCCTTAGCTTGTCAAATGTGGCATGGGTTATTGCAAGTCGTGTCAGTCAGCTATTTCGTTGTCGGAATGCTTATGGATGAGGCTCAATTTCTAAGAAGTCTCGGGGTGCTGCACCGCTTTGTGTCATGTGGTGCATAGGAAGGAAAACAACAAAAGAGTGTTTGAGGTTGTAGAATCTCGGGTTGCTAATGTATTGTGCTCTTTTATTTGGATTCAGACATATTCTGACTTCACATAGTCTTGATGTTTTCCTTTGTCTTTGGTTTGCTTTTTTCTCTTTCTTTCCTTATCAATTCTTATGCACTTGAATTTTTATTTTAATGTCCTTTATTATAATAAATTATCACTGGGTCAATTAGTACCGGAACATGTCGGACATGGATAATAAAAATGCAAAACTGCACTTACAACAATTTGATCCAGGGTCCTCCTTGTGGAGTCACTATGCACCCATCACTAGTCCATGCAACAGTCTCGATTCGGTGCTTACCAAAGAATATATTTTACAAGAAGCAAATAAGCCGATGAAGCAAGTTGCTCCAGCAAAGTCTTGGACCCGGATGCAACACTGCCCTTGTTTCAAGTATGTGCACACTTCTCAACCGTCTGCTTCCATGTGCTTCAACTTGAAGATAAAATATGTAATACTTACTATAGGAGCGTGTCAACTGGTGTTCAAGTGGTCGAACTGGCTGAACCACATAGTGATCATTGAACAGTTTTCTCACTGGTACGGTTCTGAAAATATTGGTTGGTGGTGGAACTGGCGAAGTAGTTTGGGTGTGATTGAGTCATTGGTGATGGAGTGGTGGAGTGCTGCAGGAGGAAGAGGAGGAGGTGGTCATGATGATGGTAAGTGGCTGGGGGTGAGGCAGTAGGAGTGGTGGTGGCAGCATGAGGATCGTAAGGTCATTTGTGGAATAAGTAACGTCAAGTCATTCCTAGTTGCATTTGAAAGAAAGCTATTCCCATGGGACCAAGGGATAGGCATAGCTATTCTAGTGGAATAGTTGTTCTTGATTAGTTTTTCAATGAGTTGTTGGATGAACTATCCCATCAGGAGTGGATGGGGAATAGAATAGCTTCTCCGATGTATCTAACAAGCTGTCATATATGCTTGTGTTCTTGCTTTTCCTCATTTGTAAATATGATCGAAATTTGTTATTGCCACAACTCTTAAGAGTTAAGTTGCTAGACACCGCTGTGATTGACTTCACAGCATTGTGATAAAAGAAAGAAGCCATTGTCAGAATTGAAACTGTCTTTTTATTTTGTGTGTGGTTTCTATCCTTTTCTGGTTGAAAAAATGGTGAAACTGAATGAAACCATTGTTATGGTGCTCCTGAAATGGCTTTCTTTTTATTCTGAAAGCAATAGTAAGGATGGCTGATAGAATGAGACCTTTGTTATTCTGTGTTCTGAAGATAGGGGAGTTGTTGATGATACTTGTGCTATTGCAGGAGTGGAGGAGATTTTTTGGGTCCTGTACTTCCTGTTGTTGCTGAGATATGTACTGACTTTAATCCCTCAATAGACATGGAGCCATCTCTTTCAAAGTTATTTCGAGACTTATGGTTCTATATAGCTCTTGTTGGTCTAATATAGGAAGCATAAGTGCAATTCCTCTATAGGTTGTGGGTGGACCATACATGTGGAATGCACAGTGGTCTGCTGCTGTCGAGAAAATTGCTCAAGGGAATCCTCACCTTGTAAGTTCATCTTACAAGATTTGTTACCTCACTTGCACAACCTTTCTTATGATTCGTAGTTTGTCTTGATGAATTTGGGGATTACCAAAAACAGCTCCAGATTTTTCTTTTATCATCACATGAAACAATCATGCTTGCAGTTACCCAAAAATAGCTCCTATTATGTCATTGACTGAAATTGGGAGCTATTCATGAAGGAACCTCGATGTTGCAATTAGGTTGCAGACGAATGCTGGTTCTTGTTTTGCTGTAGTGTCCATCTTGTTTTATGCATTTTCCTTGTGTCAGGAGTTGCAATCTTGATATGGCAGTCTTTCCTTCTTTTTTGTGGACACTTTGAAGTTGTAACTTTGATAAGGGGACTGGAACGTGGGATCTCCCAGCTTTGGTGTCTGTTATATAGAAATGCGTGATTTTTATTCCTCAGTTTCAACATTATGGTTCTTTAGCTTCAACATTTTGGTTGATATCATGTAAAAGTTTATCAATCTAACACTTTTTTCTCATTTATATTGCAGGTGTAAAAGCCACATATCTTCTTGCAGTAGCGTTTTTGGAATATACGATTTAGTAGCAAGGTGGCATTCTCAATGGAAGTGAAACCTTGACCTCTTCTAGAAGTGCATTCTGTTGTGTCTTTAAATACATAAAAATGCCAAATCTTATGCCCGCTGTCTCCCAGTGTCTCATAGCAATTGTCCATCCGGCATTTGAAACAGCAGTGTCATGGCTGGTATTGGTTTACTTACTTTTTTTTTTGGAAATGAGACTCCCTTCTAAATCATTTACCTATGCAATTTCATTATATGAGGATATCTTGGTGCTGCTTTTCAATAGATTGTTTAATTTTGTTTATGCTCTCTTCTTGAGGAATTATAAGTATACTGATAAATTTGTTTGTAGTTTTGATAAATTCATTTATTTTGTAGTTGCAACTTGCTTGTAGGTTCTAGACTTCTAATTTTCTGCAAGATTGTCGTCTGGGTGGGGCCTCAGATTAACTTGGGAAATAGCAGGTTGGTTATGCTGAGGAATTGCAGTGATGAAGGCGAATTAGAGAGCACCATGGTACTAGGTATATTAGGATCAGAGGGAAGTGCCATGTCTGTTGGGGCTGTGTAGACACAGACTAAAAATTTTGCAGCCTGCCTTATTACATCTTCAGGTCTCTCTTTTCCTGAGGAAGATTCTCATGAAGCCTAATCTAGTTGGAGGGGCTTATAAGGCTAGCTTATTACTCTGAGTGATGATTTTGCCTTCTTTGGAAGAGCTAATAAATTCAGGACCACTATTCAGCATTCTTTTGGGATATCTTACTAATTGGAAAAAGGCTGGGTTATCTGTTTGAAATTCTGTAATTATCACTGTGATGAAATTCTTCCACATTAGTCAAAGTGGTGCTGCCCCTCTCTCTAAACACATACACACACATGCAGCTCTATGCAGATCCAATGTACTTTGCCTATCCAGCCACTTGTTTGTTACCTATCTATGTGGAGCTGCCTGTTTATTTGTTGTTCTTTAGGTGAAAATTAGTGATCATTTACTTTGGGTTCTGGAACATCGGATATCTGACACAGGCCTTGGGGCAGTGACACGAGATTCAACTCTCTATGTGCATGCCTGTTTTCTCATAAATAGTATGTCTGATGGGAGGAGTGCATTCGTGCTTATGATGTTTACTTGTTAAAATCAGCTTAGAGACAAGTTTCCGCAGGTAAGCTGGTGCCGTAAAACTTTCTTAATCTTTTAGTTCTATTATGTCTGATACTCTCTTTGTTCGCACGGATAGCTTAACAAACAGATTACATGCGTGTAGGGTCTGTGGAATTCATCTTGTCTAGATTCCCTGTTGTTTTTGGTCGACGATGGTTCATTCTCTGCCCTTGTGATTGATCCTGTGTGGATAGCAGCAGTTCTGTCCTTGTACCAACGAGTTGTTTGGGAGTGGATCATTAAATCTCTTTCGTATGCTCCATGTACTACCCAGGGCCTTCTTCAGGTGGATCTTCTAATTGCAAAGGGCTACTCAATTTTGTTTCTTTTGGTGATATTTACTGCACTTACCGATAACATGCTTCAAAATCTGGGTTTGCTGGTGCTTAATAGCTAATCTGGCATAAAGAATCTTTATCTATTTTGTTGGTGGTCCGGTGGAGTTTGGGTGATTTTTCTGTGCAATAAAAAAAGCATATAGCCTTTTGTGCTAAATGGTTATTTCTATATCATGTAAAGCACCTGCTTAACAATTGCTCTTTTTAAGCTTGTGGCTGCCTCATAGTGAACTTCTCTTATGCACAGAAAGACAAGACATTTGTAACTTATTCTTCTAGAGTAGATCAGTTGTTCCCTTCTCATTTGTTGTTGCTTGTTTTTCAGGTTTTCACCACAGCAATCTGGAACAGCTCTTGCTCCTTGGTCGACGTTGCAGGGAACTAAAAGCTTCCATGCTTTTCACAACATCCTACTGTCACTGGTACTTTCTTCATTGTCATGCTTCTTGGGTTCAAGTTCTGCCCTTGCCAGCCTCATGGTAATCTATTTAAGTTTAGAGCAGGACTTCAATTACGAGAAGACTGGATTTTCAGGTGAACAAGTTTTCCTCTACCTTGATATTTTCTTTATTAAATTGAAACAGGATTTTTAAGCTGCGCTGTATAAAGTTGGTTATTCTAGTCTCTACCTCAAATTACTCTCTGAAGGAGTTCCTTCCATTCCTATCTTTATGTGCAGTTGTGTGACTGCGTTGATGGAGAGAGGTTCCCTGACATGCCGTACAGTGATGTGCGTGCTTGATGCATCTGTACTTCTAGTTGAATGTCTACTTTTGAAGATGATGTCTTACATGAGTTTGACTTAAGGGTTAGTGGAGGTTTTCATGCATGTCCTTTGCTTGAGGATCGTGATAAAATGACCTGTGATTTTCTATGGTTTCGCACAAAAGTGTAAGCATGTGGGTCTATCTACGTATATACATACATACAATTGAAAACTACTTAAATTATTTGGCACATGGTTTGCCTAATTGGGTTGGTTTTTCTTTGTTGAGAACATCTTCTCAAGTTGGAATTGAAAGTGGACCCTGTTATTTCTTCTAGGGCTTCTTTGGGATGGTTTGCTCATAAGCCTGAATGGTACGACATGAAGGATATGAATATTGCCCAGAGTGCAGCTCAATCTGTATCCATATTTGTTAACTACTTACAGAATGAGTGTGTAGATTATCCTCAATCTGACTAAACGGGATCGGTACGTGAAAATGGGAACTCTTTATTCAATTAGGTAAGTTACTCTTCTTAACTGTGTGGAGAATCTTAATAATTGGTCCAACACAATTTCATACTGTTCCGTATTTCCTATTGATGGAGTTGGGTGCTGATCTGATGATTATAGAGCGTGCAGAATAACAAATTCCATCCTGTCTGGGGTGCCATGGAGAACTTCGCTGTCAGAGGAGAGAAGAGGAAGCTGCTTCTTCTGATGTTATCTCAGCATGAGACTGACAGGCTTGAAGTTTGGGCACAACCCACCAACTCAAAGTATTCCTCTGGTTTTCTATAGTTAATCCATATCTTGGATATGTTTATAGTAATATTGCATGCAGTTGATTTTTGCTCTCATTATAGCCATGTTTGCACTTAATTTCAGGGAAGGTGGTTTTTGGCTTAGGATAAGCTCTTATTGATGGATTGAATATGCAAGAACTGCCTTCTCTGTGGATCCTCGTATTGCTTTGTCCTTATTCTCTAGATTGAGGACAAACCCTCATTTGAAGGCAGAAGCAACTCAGCTGATTCAGGTTTGTGAAGTTATCTTACTGAAAATATGCTACAGTCAGACCTTATATATGTTGCAAGTAAGTGTTAAACATTGTCTACATTGGACTTGCATTTCTTGAATCCTAAGCATGAGATGGCTTAAAAGCAACTTTTCTCAGAGCAAGGGAGCCATCTTGTCAGTGTATTTACGTCAGTTAGCCAGCATGGAACATCGTGGGACATTCCACATTGGGGTGTAACTGGACCATGATAATCATAATTAGAAGTCGACTCTAGCTTGACCTAGTATCAGTATTTTTTCTTTAACTCAAACTTCAAATGATTTTCGGCATGCTTGAGATTGATCCAACTGTTCTCGGGTTTTCTGTGAATATTGATCTCAAGCTCAAGTTTGAACTTGAGTGCAATAATTATTAACTTAAAGTGAAGGCAAAATCACTATCTGAATCCAGATCATTCATAAATTTAATTTGAAATTGACTACAAAGTCTTACTAAACCGGATCAACATCATGAAGGGGTCCCTTATCATGGCTCTTGTGAGTGCACATAAACTTGTCATAGAGTTTCATGATATAGGAAAGCCTTACTACAACCAGACTGTAATTTTCCTTAGGACTACCAGCTCACAAGGACCTGGACCTCCATAAACAGATTCTCCTTCGAGGATGTGCAGCCCAATGAGGAAAAGCAAAGAATAATAGAGTTAATGTATGACTAGTAACTTACAGGAGTCAGGAGGTAATGATCCGAACATGTTATCCTGAGTATATTAATTTGCTCGTGGGAAAAAAGGTCAGTTTGTGTTGCAAAAGCATATCCTTGGTAAGAAAACCCACACAGGCCTATTAGTGTTGCGTGATCTGACAGAAAAAGAATGGTGAGGAATAGAGGGGGAAAATCATGTCATCAGGGGGATCGAAAAAGAAGTGACAGAAGCTCACGCTTTGAGTTGCTACAGAAGCAGAAGAAAGTTATAGCTTGAAGTGAAAAGATGATGGGCAATGGTTAAGTACTGGAGTACTTGATTAGATCCGCAACCTTCACAAGTAATGCATCAGCAAGGTCGACCTTGCTAATATAGGATAAGTCATCAATGAGTCATGACTTCGCTGCCCTTGAGTTTTTTGTGTCATTTATAGTGGACATGACTTATTTGGGCTGGCTACATGGGTCCATTTTTGGTTATTCAAGTCCAGTTAGAACGTAACTTGTTTGATGATTGTGTTAGGCAGGTTGTCATTATTTGACTTAAACACGACTAACATGAACTCAACATGCTAATTTGTGTTGTTTTATTGTATCGCTTTAGGAATTGCCATTCCTAACTCTATTGCAAAGCCCTGCTGGGGACATGGGTTCCTGACTATTGAAACATTAACCTTGTTAAGGCCTTTTTTGAACCTCTAGAATCTTATAACTTGTCATTTAGGGGTCCCTGTACATTTCCCCCCTCAATCTTTACCAACCAAAACCGATTTTGAAATACCTACAGATCACACGTATCAGTTTCTTGTCTAGTTTCTAACTTAAAATTTGAAGCAACTCGCGTGAGAACTACATACCACAGATAACTTAAGTTGGCAAAAGGTCCACTATGACACGCACAGGCTTCACCTCTCTCTCTCTCTCTCTCTCTCTCTCTCTCACACACACACACACACACCAAGGCTTGAGGAAGCGAAGTGAGGTCACTGTTATGATGGATTATGGTTCATATGGATATGGTTTATGTAAAAAAGAGAGACCGATGATAGCGAAAACAAAGACCAATTAAAAAGAGAGGGAGCGGTAAAGTCAGTCGACGCCATACTAAAGCATATAATAGGTCTCTGTTTTCGGGATTGGGTAGGAGACTTAATACTCGGACAGAGATGGATTTTAGATCTTTTGCTGAGGTATATGACGACGATGTAATTGCTAATTGCTAGTACGTATATCAAGATCTTAACTCTTGAAAGGGACTGTACGAGTGTGAAACCCTAACGCTCAAAGGTTCATTCTTCCACCTAATTTCTAGCCCTAGGTAGTAAAATAAAGTGGGATTCTATATTTCTTGCTTTTCCCTTTTGTTTGGGTTTTGACGAATATCTGCTATACTTAAAAGTTGATGCAAGAAAATACATGTTGCCAACCCTAATCTTTTGTTATTGGACCTTTTACTGTCCAATACCTTTTAATTTGGGTCGAGTGACAAGGGCTCCTTCTGTTTACTGTGCTTATAGTTAGCTTAATGAATTCCCTTGTTTATTAATCGGTCATCATATCAAAACTTGACATTTGTCTTCTTCCTTTTGGATTGTGTGTGAAGGGCTATCTTGCCTTGTTTTAGCCAGGGTGGTCCCATCGGCAATCTGTGAAAGAGATTTCATCCTGAAATGAGCGAGTGTTAGGCGGCTACTTTCATGCTTGGCATTTGCACAGACGTATACAACAAATGGACTACTGCTGGATATCACCTAATACAGTATCTACAGCAAGGCATAGAGAAATGATTTTGTTATTAACCCTTTTCTCTTTCCTCTTCGATTCTTAGTGAAGCTCGTGTCTGCTCGTGTCTTCCATTGCAAATTAACGCTCCTACTTTGTCGGGATCATGTGACCTCTCATGTGCAATTGAGTTGTTGGCGGCCATGGGGGTTTTCCTGATGTGCTTTTCAGGCTGTCTTCACACCACACACTGAATAAGATGCTGAGCTTTTATAAGTTGTATCTTTGGTTTCATTGACACTTCGATTCTCACTCCTGGACACAGATGACCTACTTTTTGAGCATTATTTCGTATTAGTCAAATTTCATGATGTGTAATGTCTCATAATGGGGAAGCTTTTGTGATTAGTCTTCAACCATCATTTATTTGGATATCCCTCATTGACGATAGTTTTATATTTAAGTTGCCCAAAGACTAATTCAATGGAGAATTGGAAGACTCCAATGTTTAGATTTTTGCGGCAATGTCATTTTTACCGAGGGAATTAGGAAATCCAATGGTTGAGAATGTTTATGGAACTTTAGATTTCGTGACTTGAGGTGTAAGTGTTCGACATTATGGTTTGCAAATAGACGGGAAGTCATATCAATTCAAAGCATGAGGTTTTGATCCGAATAATCTACACATCCCTCCACTCACTGTATGCTATCCGAGCATCGAATTTATGGGAAACAGAAGAACTTGGGGTATAAAAAGCCACCGTCAAACTTCTTATGGTTTTTCGGTAAACTTGAATGATCATGTTGACGAATTTTATTCATAAAGGTAAGGAAAGAAGCATATTCTCACGAAATCACTTCAAGCATTCAATTCCGGAAAATGTCTCCTTCAAACATCTCCATGTAGAATAATAAGTTCCACTGGGCATTGTTTGAAACACAAAAGACAATAACTGCTTCCATTACACATTGAAGTATCATCACCGCCATGTATGCGCAATGCAACTTTGAAAAATTAACTAGTCCCTTAGGATCACCATACTAACACGTGGAGTGTTGAATCTCAAACCTGTCACCTAAAATCGAAGTAATGATAAAATTCTTGGCCTTAGAAGACACATTCACAATCTTGGCCTTAAAAGAAGCATTCACCGCACCCCGGCACATAATTGAGAGCATCAGTTAAAGGCATCATCAAAAGGAATTTTTCCCCAGTAGTTGCATCAGAAACATAAGCTCGGGGTCTGGTTCTATAGATGGTTACAACTTCACGCTATTTAGTTAAGTAACCAGCGTATCGAATCAGAAGATAAACCCGAATGAGATGTCAGATTCCTAAATATAGTATTCACTGGACATCATGCATTACAGGTGAGGAGATACCAAATTCCTAGACACAATATTAACTCTACATCATGCATTATTGCCCCTCGTTGCTGTCTCGGTCGCGTCATTGTTCCTTTTCATCTCCATCTCCCTTGCCGTGGACCTCCACCGGGTGTATTTACCAAACAAATGTCCCATCTCCTCCAATGTCCGCCCCTTGGTCTCCGGCATCAGCATGTAGAAGTACAGCCACGCCACGCTCGCAATTGCCGAAAACATGAAGGCGACCCCGCCAAGGGTGATCGCCCTGTACACCAATATGAACTTCATCGATAATAATCCACTTACCACCTGGTTCACGGCTACGCCGATTGCGCACCCCTGCACACGCAGCCTCAACGGGAAGATCTCCGAGCTATACAGTAATGTGATCGGCCCCATCCCGATGGAGAAGAAGGCCACGTAGGACAGCACCGAGGTGATGCACATGGCCATCGCCCACTTGACCTTCGCGTGGCTGTGGTCAATGACGGTGAGGCACGTTCCGAGGGAGGCCAGTGAGAAGATCATCCCGCCAATGCTGCTCAGCAGCAACGGCCGCCGCCCGGCCCGGTCAAGGAGGAAGGTGGCAACGAGGATGAACATGGTCTTCACAAAGTCGACTGCAATGGTCATAAGGAGCTTTGCATTATGGGAGGTGATGCCAGCCTTCTCGAAAATGCAAGGACTGTAGAGGAGGATGGTGTCAATGCCAGAGGCTTGTTGGAAGAAGTGCATCCCAACGGCGCAGAGGAGCATGTGGTAGACAGACGAGCTCCTCCATCTGCCCTCTCCGGTACTTTGCTTGGTGACCTTGACAACGTCGTCGTTGCACGCCTCAGGAATGCCGGCAGCCTCCTTAATCTCGGCAAGCCGGAGTGTGGCCTCCTCCTCGAAGTCGGAGATCCTGACAAGGACGCGTTTCGCGTCGCCCAGGCGGCCTTGCATGATGAGCCACCGAGGGGATTCTGGCATGATGAGGACCCCAAAGGTGAGCAGGACCAAGGGGATTGCTCCCACGTAGAGCATGACACGCCACCCGAGGTCCTGGCGGAACTTGGAGAAGACATAGTGGGAGATGTAGCCGAGGAGGGTGCCGAGGTTGATGAATGCCTGAACCACCAAAATACATATAAAGAAGCAATCACCTTTTTAATTTTAATTTTTCCCATAACAAAAATTGATCATAAATAAAAAAAAAATGCTACAAAATTGGGAAACAAAACAAAAAGAAAAAAGTGAGTACCTCGGGCAAGGAGGTGAGGAAGCCGCGGGAGAAGGCAGGAGAGATCTCGGCGACGTAGACAGGGCCGATCATGAGGGCGTAGCCGACACCAATATTGACGAAAAGGCGGCCCAACAAGAGATAGAAGTAGCCGGGGCGGATACCCATGAGGAGGAAGCCGATGAAGAAGAAGGCCCCTGCCAAGATAATCGTGCGACGATGGCCAATCCTGTTGGAGGTCCAACACGCCATCGCTGACCCAAGGAGTGATATCACTTTAGTAATCCCCATGAGGAACTCAACATTCTCGTCGGTGATGCTTTGGTCCCCCATGTATACTTCCACATTGCTCATCACTCCTATATCTGCCAAAATTCAAAAGAAAATCTTATTTATCATTGCAATATTTCCATATATATCGTAACCATATCCAAGAAATTGAAAACATGAAAAATGAAAAAAAAAATGTGGATGATGTTAACCGAAATTAAGTAATCTTTTTTTTTTCTTTTTTCATTTCCCATGCATTAAAAAAACAACCTTTGGCGATAGATCTATCGTTTTATCAGTAATAAAGCTAGACAAAAAAAAAGTGCAATGACTAAGATATAACCTAATTATTATTGTCATTTTTTTTTTGCAACATAGTTGAGTCGCAAGTGATTGATTCACTTTATGGAAAATTGATTTGCACAATTATATCATGGATTCTAAACTTAATGGACGACCACCGGGGTGAGCCTTCCCGTGCTTCACAATATTGGACGCATTGCGGGAGAGAGAGAGAGAAAGGGGACTAACCATAACCTAGCAAAAGGGAGGTCATGGAGGCCATGATGGTGTAGGTAAAGGCATACTTGTGCCGACGCGGCTTCGCCAAAGACTCGAAGTCCTCAATCGGCTTCGTTTGGATGTTGGCATTGACTTTAGAATCACTGCATGTGTCTTTTAATTCCTGCAAAGTAAGTCAATTGGCACCTCATATAAGTCAATCAGTTACGTAAAACTGCAAGAGAAACTGTTCAGGGAGCCCAATTATAAATGTCAAGAAGAAATCCCTTTGTCCAACCAAAGAGAGAACTCGTAGAATCAAAACCAGGAAAATAAAGGACACAAAAAACTGAACATTTTGGAAACTTTAGCTAAGAGAATTACGAACAATCATAAGTAAGCATACCCCGCAACCCCCGCAACGCAATTATCCAACTAAATAGTGCCATCAAATGATGAGCAAGAGATTAGAGCAGTTCAAAACATCATGCTCCCAAAATCACATAGTAAAAATATGGGCAGAGCTAATAGAAATTATTTTCATATTTGTTCGTACGCTCACGCCATTCTTCTACTTTCCTTTTTCATTCAACCTCTTTCATATGCCAACCAGGCAACCTGTGGATATAAGTGTGAAAAATGCAGTTCTGTACCATAAGAGTCGAACAAACAAAAACAAATTAGCCTTATCCGATAGTTCAGGAAGTCCAATTATAATTGCCAAGAAGAAATCCCTAATCTATGTTTTTTGGGAGCTATGCTAGGACGACGGTGGCCGTCGTCCTATCCAAGTGACTGTGTTATTTCAACCGCTAAATTCTTCTATCAGGAAATGGCAATTGGATGCGAAAGTTGCAGGAAATAATGAATTAATAAATCTGTTACTGGAAATTCAACTCACAATATATCTTTCTTAAAACTGGCGCTAATAAAGATTTTTCTTTTTTCATTCTCTATTTTTTCTATCTAAAACATATGCCTGAATTGGATCTTCACCCAATCAAACCACTCACTCGTATATCCCAATCCAATGGTCTTCTCCTTAATAATCCTACTGATCTTTCAAGAGATCTTCCAATACTTTAATTATTAGATATTTCTAATTACTAGTGCGATTTGGCCAAAAAAAAAAACAATAATTGAATAGTTTATGAGAGGAGGCCTTTTTTTTTTTTTTTAATAATCTAAAGGCACAGTCTTAACTACCTGGAGACCATGGAATACCCTGCTAGTCCCATTAACCAGCTAAGTCCCATTAACACCCTGTTGTGTTAGCTAGCAAAACGGCCACCGTGTCCTGGAAGATGACTGGTGCATCGTGGGTCATGATTTTCATTTCAAAGAAACAGGCAACCTCTCGAAGTAAATCCACTAGTATGGAAGCGTAGAAGCATGAACCAAAGTCCCCATCTTAATAATTTTGTTGAAGATATTACGCATTTGGGTTTTGGGATATTATCAATTATAAGATTTTTCTAATACTCCGGCCAATATATGGTAACTAATATAGTTGTGTAGTAAATTAATTCAGCTTTTGCATACCTAAACTTAGATTATGTAGTCGGATTTTGCACAATATTAAGTTGGTGATTTGTTCGGTACATGAAGAGTTCTCCAAAAGATTAGTCGAATTATCATAAAAGTACTTTAATTGAAAAAAATGTTAAATTTAGTTATTGGGTAACTACAAAATTTCCTAAAATTTTTACCCTGTTATTTCTATGTGATCACGAGTTATTAGGACTGTTTTCCCACGCGACGAAGCTCCTCTTCTTTCTTCAGCCAAATAGTTCGCCTAGTCATCGACCCAGAATATTAGCATATATTTTTGGGAAAAAGGCTATTCAGGTTTCCACGTTAAGCATCTAAACATTTGACAGGCTGAGAAACAATCATTATTGCTAGAGAAATTACGACGCGGTCACCTTCGCTTTTTCCTTTATTTATTTTTTTTTCTTTTCTTTTCTTTTTCTTTTTTTTTCCTCCCCTCCCTCCTTTCTCCAGTTGGTCGCCAGAACGGCGAACGGCTAAAGGCCAGAGCCCCTGAGGCTCGCCCTCGTTGAATGGCCGTGAGGGTGGCCTCGTGCTGGGCGGGCGAGGGCTCGAGCCTCGCCAGTGGCTGGACGAGACCTGACCTCGCCAGATCCGGCGAAGTCGAGCCTCGCCTAGCAAGGGCGAGCCTCGCCATGGCTGGGGGAGGCTCGACCTTGCCGGAGGCTGTGAGGTCAAAGGCCTCTGGCGAGGGCTCGAGCTTCGCCGACGGCTGGACGAGGCCCGACCTTACCGGATCTGGCGAGGTCGAGCCTTGCCCAGGCATGGCGAGGCTCGCCTTCACCGTTGCTGGCGAGGGCGGGCCTTGCCCGTGGCTGGCGAGGTTGACCTCGCCAGCCTTTGGCCTTTGGTTGGTTGCCGGTTCGGCAACTGGCAAGAGGAAGGATGGACGGGAGGGGAAAAAAATTAAAAGAAATAAAGAAATAAAAATTCAAAAAAATATTAAAATATTATTAAAAGTTGTCTACGGCAGCGTCGGTGATCGGCTACCGGCATCCACGTCAGCAAAATCCAACCAAAATTTATTGGAAGGACTGAATTGACACAAAAACAAAAGGTTCAGGACTGAATTGACACAAATATAAAAGGTTTAGGACTGAATTGGCACTAAAAAAAGATTGAGGACTAAATTGGCACTAATGCCAAAGGTTTATGACTGAATTGACACCAAAAAAAGTGGTATCAGTACCAAAGATTTAGGACTTTTTTAACACTATTTCCTGTTTTTTTTTTCTGTCCTACCAGGAAGAAGGGAGAACATTATGTATTAGGACACATATAACTGATTCACGTTGACTGAGATTGGGTGGACTCAGGCATTTTTAACTACTAATACAGCTTGGTTTTACATTTTCAGTGCCTTTTCACGATCTATTGTTCAATCTAACCACAGTACTTTATTTATTTATCAAACTGCAGAGAAAGTAATAGCACAAAATGCAAGCTCAACAAGAGAATTACATATAGTGACAAGCAATCATACCCCGCACGTTTTGTCGGTCGGTTCTTCTTCTTTTATCTCGCTGAACTGTTCCAAGGCATCCACGCCGTCCTTCTCTTCTTCTTCTATTTCGCAACGTGCCAAGACATTTACGTTGTCCTCTTCTTCTTCTTCTTCTATTTCACAACGTGCCAAGGCATTTCTGCCGTCCTCTTCTTCTTCTTCTCCTCCTTCTTCGTACAAACGAAGGAGGAACTCACGGTAACTATCATCCTCGCCAAAAGGGATTTCTGAGGTATTATCGCCGTGGTCGTCTTTTTCTCCTCCTCCTTCGTATAGAAGCAGCAAGAATTCCCTATAACTCTCGTCATTACCAAATGGTACATGACAGTCATCCATGGCTACTCTCTTCTTGGGTCTGCCATGAGAGATGGAGCGAGAGAAAACGAGGCGTGAGGGATTGCAAAGACACAAACACTTTTTAAATATTTAAGTAAATAGTCACTCAAATCAGAATGTGAATGAAGCTTTTTTACGTGCTTAGACAACAGTACTTTCAATGCGGGTCTAGCCTACTACTTGCATTTCCATTACTTACAAAAACTTAAATTCATGAGGAGTGTTGCTATGAGTGTCAAAATTTTTCCCAAATTCTTGGACTCGAAGACAAGCTCTAATGTCACAGCAAAACAGGGATAAAGAGCAAAAATGAAAATAAAGAAAAGATTAGAAATTTGAGCAACTACTTTTCGTCCCTTGACGTGGACACTAATTAAGACAAACTTAAAAATTGTCTATATTATTAATGATACATTGATGCAAGACAGAAAAGTTCATGTTCCTTCGGAGAAAGGCTACATTGTGTCATTGCTTACATGGGAAATTCATGCCGTAGCATCGTGTTCTTTTACAGGATCGAGATCAAAGCTAGAAAGGCCAACAGCACCGCTTGGAAATAAGTTACTGGTCTTACTAGTCCAATTGAGTCTATAACATAGGCCTCCATCCAGTAACATTCAATGACTCAGGCCTTCATTTGTCGAGAAATTATCCGGCGGTTACAAAATGCCACGTCATAAGTTGACATCATCGTCATTGTCAAGCCTATTTCCCTAACCAATTTTTTTCAATTATTTATTTTTTCTGATTTTTTAATCAATTCCAAATATAGGGACTCGGGCTGGGCCATTGGGCCCTCTCCGAATATAGACTGATGTGGCTCACGGGTCTGGTCCACAGATGCAAATGGGCTTACTAATTAAGCCTCTTTCAATCAAAATCTCACAAGCCCAATCGTGAGTTTTAACACGCAAAACCCATTCATTACTGATGTTTTGGTGACTACGCTCCCACTCTCTCTTCTAACTGCACCAACTCCATGTTTAAGCCCAATTTCTAACACTAAGCCCGCCCTAACCCCATTTTATTATTTTCTTTTTATCCAATTTTCCTCTTTTCTTATATTTATTTATTTATTTTCTCCTTTCCCGGGGTTCCAGCGTTTCTTCTTCATCCTGAATCAAAACAGTAAAATCATTAACAAAACTAAACTTCACCTAAATCAAAAGTTTCCACCACATTCTTCTTCAAGCAAACCAAGAACAAGCGATTTCAACCAAAACTCTTCAAACACTATGTGCGAATCTACATCAATATGTTCTCAGACTAGAAAAAATTATGAGCTATTTCAGAAATATGTCTAAGAGGCATTTCAACAAACAGGATGCATGCATTGAGACTATTAAGATCCGGTCAATTATATTCACCGGTGAATATAATTGACAGTCACGGGAACATAACAAAACAGAGTAAAAACAAAGAACAAAAGGAATGTGGGCAGATTTAGTCTCTTAACAAATAAATCTAACTGAAATCAAACTCGTCGATCAAAGGTATCTCTCTGTCATACGACCCGTGTTTGTATATACTCAGAATAGTGCAAAACCCGAGACACGTGTGTATAATTTGGTTCAGAACTTTTGTCGAACACATGGTGTCCAGTGGTTTAAGGAGAGAATATTAACCATTTGGGGACTCAAACTCACATCCAGACTCGCAAGAAATCATTAAGGATTGTTCACAATCAACAAAATCAGCTCATTTAAACCCAACATGCGCATGAATCTAGGAAGAACGGGTCTCTGCCTCTAGTTTAACAAAAACAGAGCATGGCCAGGGGTGGTTTGACAATACCTTGTCGAGGAGATGTTCTCAGCCACAATCACTAGCCCAGCTAGCGGAGGGAAAATCTGGGAGATCGTCTCTTGTGAATGTGAACAACAGGTACTGGGCTTCGGATATGAACAGCTTGTTTCGAGATTCCGAAGCCGAGGACTAGGTTGAATGGGGCACTCCTTGCAGCGAACGAATTGAGAGAGATGAGAAGCACTTGGGGGAAGGAAACGATTGGCAATGAAGAGGCAGGACGTTTGGCAGAGATCACCGAGAGAACGACTTCTATGCACTCCAAAGTCCCACCAATCTCTGCCGTCAATGTCTTCTGCCCCGGTCCTCTTTCAGTGTGCAGGCTTATCAATGGTAAGTGACGGGGTGAACCAGTAGTGTTCAATGGCCGATTCTGAAGATGACCCTGAGATAAAAAACTTCGGAGAAAATCGCTTATGGAGTTTCCTCCTCCTTTCTCTCTGTTGTCCCTCGCCAACAGAGAAAGAGGAGAGCACGCGTGAAATTTACAATAAATAAATAAATAAAATATAACCGGTTCAGTCCGAGCGATCTGGTCAGTCCGATTCCCTCTGGAATTGGGGACCGAACTGATGCCCTCAGAAACCGCTTTGAACTGGCTGATCCAGGTGGTTCCGGTTCGCTCGGTTCGTGTTGCTCACCATAAGTACAATGACATGGTAAGTTGTAAATACCCCTAGAATGCAAGCGGGAATAACCCTATCAGCTACGCAAACTACCTTAATAAATAGAAAAGGTACCATAAATAATACCCTTGGGCGGGAAGCTTCACGCTCAACCCTATTTTGCTAGGGAGGGTACCACACTACTGCCTTGGCAATCAACAGCTAGCTTGTTATTCCCTATTTTGCTAGAGTTTCCGTTATTGTTTGTGGTGGTGACATCGTATGTTGACGTTCTTGCCGATGTAGGAGAGCAACTCCATCATCCACATGCTGAGCTAGCATGCTCTGTCGAGCACTTTCATGGCTTTGTCTTTGAGGCCTTTCAATGTGAGTGAAGCATGCCTCTAGTTATGGCAGACTTAACTTATCTTTTGTTTTCTAGTTTCTGATAACAATTTGCAGGTAAGATTACTTATGATGGTCACGCGTTCTTTGTGCATGAATCACCCTTCATGAGAGATCATTTACCGTCAAAATATTTCCAACTATTCCCTTTGCGTCCTCTTTAAACTGCATAAGATATTGAATGTCGTATCGTGTGAAGACAAATGTGTCAAATATCAAGGAAAGAAAGATCCTATTTAGATGTTATATTGAGTGCGGAACTATAAAAGGATTTGGAATATTCATATTAATGAATTCTATGGTATACGACTTTCGAGACTTGGCTCATCAAAGTTTTATCCTCTGCAACAAAATGAGTGATCCTCCATTCCAGAGTTAGGAGCTGCTGCTTAACTCCTCTTGAATGCGATCTCAAGCAGATCGGCAGGCACCAGGATTTAGTTCAAACTTGCCCGGAATCAACGACACAAAAAAAGCATAAGAAACTCAAGAACTTTAATGTTGCAAGGGTAGAAAAATGTGTAATAGTCAGCAGCTGTTGATGATTGAATAATAGAGTACAGCTCCTGAATGTTTCGAAGACCGTAATGGTAGCCAGTGGAAGAGCTCTGAGCGAGATTGAAGCTCTTCGGGCTTCTCGGCCACGGAATAGGGCTGAACAAAGCAGGGAAGGCGAGAAAGCGCGACTGCGATGACTAACGGGCTGTTAGTGTCACATCCCAATTTTTGGACCTGAAAAGCCGCAGGTAAATTGTAATATCCTCAATTTCAGTCCCTGGGAATTGGCTATGGTTTAAGTTTGGTGGTTTTCCAATCGGAACTAATATTTTTACTCTTGTTTTGGAAAACCCAGTTTCGGATCCTTTGTACCTCTTCGTTTTGTTATTTTTGAGGAGACTTTTGTGGTCCGAATTTCCAATTGAGATATTTTATGCTTTGATTGGAGGTCGGCCAAAAGGGAAACCGAGAGAGAGAAGCAAGCTTGGAATTGGATGATTCTAGAGAAGTCAAAACTTGAAGCCCAAGTTTGGAAATGAATGGCCAAGGATGAAGCTTGTTCAAGAAGCCTAATTAAATGATCTTGACTTTGGAGTCCCTATCACGATGGCATGCCTTAATTGCCTTGAGTGATGATCAAGTTTGGAGTATGATAAATAGGGAGCCGTGAGAAAGGCCATTCGGACAAGGGGAGAGAGAGAGAGAGAGAGAGAGAGGATCAATGAGATTGAGATAAGCATCGGCCCTTCATCATTTTAGTTCATTAAGAGCATTTAATGACATTAAATGCATGCTATGATGACACTTGACTTAGAAGCCCTCCATTATTGCTTATTCTAGGATTTTCTAGGGTTTTCTAAGAATAGCAAGACAGCCCCTTCTCTCTCTACACACATCATCATCTCACGCCAACACCATCCACCATCTTCCTCTCCTTTTGTTTCTAGTTTTCTCACCAATAAAATGGGAAAAAGACCATTAAGCCACCGAATATGAATATTCCATGAATTTAGAAGAAGCATTTTAGAATAACCATTTATAGTTCAGAGTAAATTCACACGCTCTTGAGAGTTAATGATAAAATGTGGTATCGAAATTAATAGTTTCTGAAAATCATCAGCAATTCAATGATATTGCTTAATGTGTTAATGGAAAAGCTTTTCTTGAAAAAATAAAAATTCTTCGAGGAGTTTGACTTTGAATTATGGGGTGCACCACTTGGGGAATCAACTCCTTTAACTATCTATTTAACTAACGCAAATGATATCTTATTAAACAAGATAATTAGATTTTTTAATAAATCATTTATATATTAATCAGTTCTCTCTTTCTCACTCGTCTTTTTTTTGGTTCACGTGTTCTTTGCACCTATCATACAAGATTCAAATATGGTTGATCTACATTATCGTTTTGTTTTGTGGTGAAAATTTGTTAAAGATTTCTAATTACATACTCTAAAAAGAATCATTTAAGCAAATGCTAATGTTATCAATATGAACTCTTCCTTTTGAATGACAATAAATATCATGAGGTGAATGGATAAATGCTGAGAAAAATTGAAACTTTTTGTTGAAATTATTCTGTGAACTTGTTAGATAGCACTTGAAAAACGTCTTTTAATTAATTTCCTTAAGGGCATCGCACAGAGTACGAGCAAATCAATTAGTTACAAAAGATCCTAATATA